CTCGCCTTTAATTCAATTTCGAACAACCTGAGTTCGATCCCCGGTGCCGACACCAATGAAATTGTTGATTTTAAGTGCTGACTTAACACGTGTTGAAGGATGACCACATGCTTTGGAATCCAACTTCTAGGAGAGGTATTCTTCATCGGAGCGGAGCGAAGGAGCGTAGTCAACTCATAGTATCTGATCACCAACGCCCTTAGACGCATGAGACTCGTATTGCTGCGTTTGAGTCAAGAACTCTTCTTCAGGCTCCCTAAGTCGTATCAGTCCCAAAGTACTGCAGGCGACAATTACTCCACCCTGTGGTTGTACGTGGTAGAACGTTCCGTCAAAACTGCCAACCATCAAGCTGGTATCGATGGTATTTGGCGGTTCGTCGCGTTGTACGACAGCTATTTATCCTACCATCTGTATACAGCGTTCCTTTATACAGTTCCGCAGGATGTTAAGTGGTGATGCGGTTGGTGCGCATTCACTCGGCAACAGCTCTTTACGACCCCAAGCCTTAACTAAGAGTGCTGTCATCTGTCGAACGAAATTCGCATCGATGTTATACAAACCTAGGTGTAAGTGTGAATGATTTTTTGTAACCGAAATTCCGATGTGATGCAACCCGATCACCGAGTCCATCGCTCCCAATGGCCGGCGGTGCTTTCGGCACGGCGGTGTTTCCATCGTCCGCAAGAAGCAGGGCCGGATTCAGAGGTCTGGAGGCCTCGGGGCAACAAAGGAGACGAGGCCCCTTGGCCTCAAATTATTTTCCAAATAAAATGAAAAAAAAATTTTTTGTAGTTTTCCACTTAATAATTTATTGTGAAACCAAGTAAAAATATGAAAGGAAAAGTTGTTTACAAGCATTTTTTTTTACTTTTTTTACTAGTCCGAGTTTGAATTTTTTTTCCCGAAGTCTCTATTGTGGGGCCCCGGGGCTTTAGGCCCGGCTGCCCTCCTCTAAATCCGACACTGGCAAGAAGTGTACGGCAAAAACGCCAAAACACGACCCGCCAGTGTGGGTGTCGGTTCTTTGAACCACTGACTGTGAACGGCGATTGATACGAGGCCTTATTACGAGGGCGGCAAGGTCCCGAAAGCCCAAACAAACGGTGGAGAAAAGCCCAAATATATGGATCATATTCAATTTAACAAGTCGTGATCGGCTCTTAGAATGTTGTAGTTAATCCCAATGTTACGGTAATATGCCTACAAGAGCAGGTTAATGTTTTTTTATTTATAAAAGAGGCCGTTTATGTGTTTAAACTCCATTCGTGTTAAATTTCGTTTCAGTAAGTTTAAAGTTTTTAAATTGTAAAACTGAGTTAGATTTGTCAAGACAGTTAAATTTGTCTTAGGCTTTTAATGTTCCATGATTGATAATATTTCTTAGCTATTACACCGACAATTGCTCTTAAATTAGAAGAATTTTTACGTAGACACATGGTTTTTGTTATTAAACTTTTTATCTATTTCAAAAGTTCCATTACGTGTCTCATGATAAGCATGAGGACGTGAATCTGATTGAGTCATTTAGTTGACACGTGAGATATTTTTTTTAGATTTTTTTGCATCTAGTCCTTAGGCTACATAAATATTCGTTAAGCGCAATGCTCGTAGAAAGCTTAGAGTTGTTATTTTAAATGGAACTCACCCTTAAAAACGTAAACACGTACGTGCGTGTGTGCGTGCGTGCGTGCGTGCGTGCGTGCGTGCGTGTGTGCGGGCGTGCGTGCGTGTGTGTGTGTGTGTGTGTGTGTGTAACAGCCTATAAATTTCCCGCTGCTCCAAAGGCCTCCTCTATACAGAGGGTATCAGGGCATACCACGCGACCCCACTGCGGATTGGTGGACGATTTCCTTCACCGCTAAGCATCTGATAAATCGGCACTTAAAATTGACAATTTTATTGGTGCTGGCACCGGGATTTGAAGTCAGATTGCTCAAGTACTATATTGAAGTGAAATCGAGCGCCCTTTCACTGTGCTATCTCGGCTTTTATTCAATTCTGCATTTATTATTAAACTAGCTGCTACCTGCGACTGCGTCTGCGTAGAATAGGCTAAAGGCGTAACATCCAGACTGAAAGATATATATATATTTACATAAAAATATGTATATAAATTATAGTCGTATGTCTTATTCTGATCTATTAGCTATATTATTGTATAGTTTCATTAAAATCCATTCAGCAGTATTTGCGTGAGAGTAACAAACATCCATCCATACATACAAACTTTCGCCTTTATAATATTAGTAAGGAAGTAAGGATTCGTTAATTTGACGACAAGAGAGAAAAAACACACTCATATAAAATTCTGAATCTGTATTTGTGGAAGTGCTTCCATATTTTTTATTTGTCTGAACTATTTTAAATATACAACAGAATTGGAAATGTTTATTTTGAGCACAAGTGATCAATTCCTACCGATTAAGTGAAAAAAACTCAAATTTATTTATATATTCAAAAAAAACACCCTTTCGACTAGATTAATTCGGTGTTGTATGTAACAGTATTGATTTAGAAAGAATGTTAAATACTATCTTATGCTATAAATTGTAATAAAAAAGGCAGTAAAATAGCAACATTAGTGAGTGACATGCGATAAAAGCCCCAAAACATATATAAATAGAGTCTAAATGGTGACCAAAGATAAAAATAGAAATTTGAAAGCTTTATGCTAAACAGTTGTAGCTAGGAATAAATAAATGGTTTTAGTAATAGCAATTAAGAGTGCGCTACATTTATTTTTCTTAATTTATCAAATGGTACTGTTAGGCTCGTTACTATGTGAAGCTCTTATTATACGCTCTCCAAAAACTTAGTTATTGGTTTTAATTTTATCTTTATAAATATAAAAGAATGAATTTGTATATTTGTTCTGTATATATTGTATATCCGAACTGATTAGAAATATTAAAACATGTAGAAAAGTTCGAAAAGATTGATTAGAAATAGTTTTTTTTTTTACAATGTCAATTACTATTGTAAATTAAGGATACAAGAAATCAATTTCAAATGAAGTTTATTTAAATATTCAGTATATAATTCGATTGATATTAAAAACTTGAAGTAATTAATTAGCCGTACGAATCTGAGGCGTGGTTGATAGAAAACAAATTTATTTATTCAGTTTCCTATGAATAGCAATAGTTTCTTTTTAAAAAAAGCGTAAGTACCATGATCTCACAGAAGTGGAGTGAAGTGGATGTATCAATCTTTCGCTTTTCGACTGGCGAGTGAGGTAACCGTGGCCCACTTTTTTAAAGGTTGTCAGCGCGTAAGCGAGCTATCCATGGGCGGCAATATTCATTTAACATCACGCCCGCCTACTCGCTTGACATTTTTTCACATGAAAGAAGAGTTAAGTTCTTAAACACTGTTCCGGTGATCTTCTTCTTCTTTACGCGTCGATGACAAATCATATCTTCCCAGCCCAGAACTTAGCCACTTCGACAGCACAATTTGTGGCATCCATCAGATCCTGCTGCGAACAGGTGAAAGGGCAAGACATCAGATGGGCCATGGACTGCACTGCTCCACACATACAGTCCAGGTCTGAGTTTTCCGGTGATGGTGATAGGCCAAAAAACATACAGTGAGATGCCTGTATGTTTTCTGACGGCATGAATATGAACCAATGTCTATGAAATATATAAATGTTCGTGCCAGATACGTAGCGAATAATAGCATTCTAAAAGTTCTAAATTTTCTCTGTAATATGTTCACGCGCTTCTTCCGGTACACCCGAGTGGCCTCAGTTAGAATCGCAATGAAGGATGTTATGAAATTATTAATTGTAATAAATGCTGTTGTGAAAAGCATCGAGAAATATTTTGGTGAGAAGACATTTGCCCAGCAATGGGCCATATGTGTATATATAAGCAATTTATAATGATAATACATATAATACGTTTCACGCTTGGATATGGACGAATTGCACGCCCAGCAATGTCTAAGCCGATATGGTGACCTTTGATGGTCTATTCAGTCATTCAATCATTTCAAATTGCCCGCGTGTCTTTTGAAAAAGCAACGCACACAAAATGATAATGCGCATGTGGGGGGCGAGGGTTGGGGACAGGGGAGGGGATTCAAAAATGTACAGCGAGGAGACACTTAATGGAAGCGATATCTGCAGCAAGATCACTGTGGACCCCACAGAAATATGCGGCGGCTTCATTATAATTAACTCCTTGTATAAACAAGAACGAGACAGATCTCTCCGTTCGCGCGGTTTTATGGTCATTCGACGAATTGCAATGCACACTTTTTCTTAATATTAGCGTTCATATTTACTGGCCGTATGGGCATTAAATATATGACACACTGTCAGTTAAGCATTTGAATTAAAAAAAGACGAGCGCATGACAGGATGTTTAGAAACAAGATAAGCTAATTAAAAATTAATGACGTCCTTATTTTTAGAAGGTCATGATGACCAATGAACGGAGTAGTTTAATGCAAGCTTATTGTTACTTCGTAATTTTTCAGTGATCATGCAAAATAACGATCCTTCTAAAAATATACCGTTAATTAAATGAATACCCATCATATCTGTTGATCATCATTAATGGTGGGCACTGTAACAATCAATCAATGATAAATAGACAGTAGCTAATCCAGCTGCACTAAATACGCATAAATCGTGGACAAGTGGAAAAGTAACGATGTATCTAGACCAAACATTCAGATAAATTGGCTCTGTTACCCCACACCAAAGCCCAAGTCGCTTGCAGGGTACTTTACCTTATCAATTTCATCGGAATACGGCTTTATTTGCATTTACCAATTTTCTTCAGTCCTTGCAATTAGTTCACCCACATTACCATCTGGTATAACAAAACAGTCCCGACTCACCGAGGATATTTTAGGCGTTAAATATATTTGGATGATAGAATAGTCCCTTGGGGTACCCTGAAACGTCTTAGTTGACTATGTACTCAACTGTTGCTTTATTTAATGCTGTGTCCTCTTCCAGTCGTGGGAGCTTCGGGAGTCGGTTATATGGCGAATTCATGCACAATTTCGGCACACGCAGCGCTGTCGGTGAGACGATAAGTGCACATTAAATCGGCGCACGTACCTGCCTCGCGGGTCCGCCTACCTCGCCGAATCGCGCCCTGTTTATTGACCCCGCGACCGTCAAACTGGTCGCGGCCGCTTTGGCGAGCGCTTAAGGCCAGCCCGTCCGCCGATATAATGAGCACCGAATGTTCCAGAAGCTTTCCGAGTTGCCGCCATCGCATTGCGGAGCGCGACGTGGTGCGGACTTTAATAATAAGACGGCAGATGAACGAGTGTCCCTGAAGGTTCGTGTCTATCGCCGGTCATGTACACCTGCAACGGATATCGGTAACTTTACTAGGCCTTAAATTTGCATTGCGATTAGCAGTAGCCAGAGACCCGGCTACCGCCTAACGCAATGCAAATTTATAAACGCAACGACTTCACGTCGTTGCGTTGCGTTTATAAATTTGTGCATTAACACATGTTTTAGTGTTAGATTTGCACACGAAGCAAAGTTCCTGATGCGTATATAGAATGGCTACAGTAATAATATCCATATTGGTGATACGAATTGGTCATTATCTTGCATTATTATATTGTATTGGCTAAAATGTTAGTATTAGCTTTTGGAAAGCTTTGGCTACAATCTGTAAACTACTTATCAAATGATCGCTGCACGGGCCTTTCTTTTTGCGAACCTGTCTGTTCCATGGTCTTTCATTAGTGGTCAATAATACAATATATACGGATAAGTGCTTTATCTTTCTAAACTGTAAAAACTCAATAAAAGATTTAAAGAGATATGGGTTAATTCATTTTTGGTCAACGGCTCAAGTCAATTGAAAGCTTTCGAACGCAATCCCGCGGTCGTATAGTGCATTATTTACGAAGCACTTTCTGTATATGACATTTACCGTCGCGAATTCCTTATGCGTTCCGTTTGTCTCTCTCCCTTTTACCAAATCAAATTATGAAACGCCATCCAATCGTGCAATGTCTCTCACATGCCACGTGAAAACGAAACCAATCGAAACGCTAATAAATAAATGCACTCTCATTCGAAATGTAACGCAAGTTGCCGCGCATTTAATACACCTTAACTAATAATAAAAGGAGTTGAATTTTAATTATTAAAACTTGTAGAAAATTATGTAAAAAGTAAAAAAGTAGAGGCGAATTTTGTTTGTTTGCAAAATACGTTTTACTAATGCACCGGTGCGTTATCATTAAATAGCAAATGCGTTTTTAATTTATTTAAATGATTGTATTTCGTAGGTTACAAATCGGAATTTGGCACTTGAATCGGAGAAAAGAGCTGCCAGGTACATTTGTAAAGCAACCTGTTAACTTTATATCTGTATGTATGTATAATATGTATTTATTTACAAAAGAAAAGTATGTTTAGTATGATTATCAGTTACCTAGTACTATATTATTAGACTAGATTGTGTAAAATGTCGTGAATATATTTATTTACTTAATATAGAAAATGTTACTCGACTCGTATCTCAGCGTTGCCGCGCCCAGCGTGTAACAATCAGCGCTCGTGTGAAATCGCCGAGCGATTTGAAAAATTGTCGCCGCCACGATAAGCCGATCCAGTTAGCGTTCGAAAGAAATCTCGGCTGCGATAAAAACAGAAATTGCAACTTCCCGCCGCGTTCGATGTTTAATTTCTCGATGTGTTTGCGACGCGGGGCGTTTCAAAGACACGTGTTCACTACTAATTAGTTTAACCGACTGACAGACGACTCTTTTTTAGATCGTTTACTGTTGGCCTTTAGCCTTTACAGATCCACTCGATGTGGCCAAGCGCTAAGGACGCCTAGTATAAACATCGTTTATGAGTGAGAGTTCAAGGGCTCCCGGGGGAGCCACGGCTCATATACTCATTTGGTGGAAACGATAGACGTAAAATGTATGCATTATCCCGTCCTATAGAAAACAAGTGTGTTTATGCTGATGTACGTTACGTAGGAAGTAAAACCTGACTAAACCGTTAAAATAACAAAAAAATTGTATCCTCTGTGCCAGTAATCTTTGTTTTTGTAAAGTATTTTGTTTGTGTGCAATTGACATGCGATTGATAACTTGGAATTATAGGTAAACTAGCTGCTGCCCGCGACTACGTCTGCGTAGAATAAGCTGAAGTTGTAACATTAAGACAGAAAGACAGATATACATAAAATATGTTTATAAATTATAGCCTATGTCTTATTCTGATGTATAAGCTATATTATTGTAAAGTTTTATTAAAATCCATTCAGTAGTATTTGCGTGAAAGAGTAACAAACATCCATCCATACATACAAACTTTTGCCATTATAGTAATAGTAAGGATGATAAAAAGTTGTAATTGGTTGCCATGGTATAATACCTTCAATTGCTTTGGAACCAACTTCATCGTGTTGGCTTTTTAGCTGTGTACGCGAGTCTTTAAAGTTTTTCTCTTATCTTTTATTCGCGCCAAAATAAGTATTGCTTCAAAAATCGACATAGAACACTAGATCTATGAGATAGCAACTTTAAAGAAATTATTTATGTACCTTAGGCCAAGCTTTTAAACAACTAACGGCCATTTTTGCCCTCCAAATATTTCCGAACGAACAACTTTAAAAATATCAAAGACCGGTTTTAATGAAGTCCTGATTCTAGATCCTATTATTTGAAACCATCGTGAAGACAATTTATGACATTGAATTTCATCATCTGTCGTAATTTTTAACTTTCTTCTGCACTCTCGCATACAAAATTATTTAGCTACAGACACGATTACAGTTCAAGCGTTACCTTCCGGCGTAACAAAACTCCACACGCGAATAAATATGCCTTCGGCGAATGTAAACGCACCTAATGCGTCCCTTAGCACCCGCGTCAATACACCGATCGATAAAACATTTCAAACAACCGGCTTCTCGAAACTCCGCGTTCCGATTTCAAAGTTGCAAAAAAAAAGAAACATTCACGCTCTCGTTTGTGCATAACTTGTATTTTATCTGTAACGATTTAATATCCGAAATCTTTTTTGCGCCTTTCGCGCGGCTGCCTCAGCACGCGTCCCGTCATGTGAAATAATGAGCTATATTGCCCCACTGTCTTTTACCGCGGCTCCGCCCGCGGGTCACCGATCGAAATTTTAGTAAAGTTAGTTTTTTATGATGAGAATTACGCAAATAGGTGGCGATGGCATAATTTTTTTGAATTTGACAATTTGAAAAATTTTATGTGATGACATCTATGATAACAGAGGAAATGCAGACGCATTGTCAGCTTTTAATAAAGTGGGTCCCGGTTACCTCACCCCCGGACGAATCGCGAAAGTACAAGACTCCCACTTGAACAACAGCAGAAGTTGCTACGTGTCTCTGTGTGTCTCTGTGTGTGTTTGTGTGACGAACCCTCATTGCAAGTCCTTAAAATCTGTTTAGCCACGAAGAAACCATGAAGGCGTGACAAGTTTACTGTCATTCGGAGATTTCGATATTATTCATGATCTGGCTACATTTTATAATTATGGACGGTCACCTCGAACGACGCACCATCGATTCCAACATATCCACTCTGTATTTTATGAATCAGACAATATTGATGGACTGGTCGAAGATGAGATGACGACAAGGACAGTCAGTCTTTGCTCAAGTATTTTACGGCAGTAATCTTAAATATGAAAGATAAAAACAAATAAATTATAATTATGGTCATTAGACTAATAGCCAAGCATCGTATCAAAGCTTCATCCAGCCATTGTCGAGTTTTTTTAGGAAAAATCACCCAATGGTCTGTTGTAATATTAAAGAGTAATTATTACTGATAATGTGTTATAGTGATTATGAATGTGTCAGGCAGTATAAGTAAAATATTTTATTTCCTTTGTTAAACAACATTTGACAAAACTTTTACAGAAGGCAACTTTTGATAAACGCGTTATTTGTATGGATGTATGTAGAGTATTGATATCTGCAACTTCAGTTTTCGTTCAATTCTGTGCACTTGATCAGTTAAGAATTAAATTGGATATAATATTACGAAAGGATTTCCTCACGTATCCACCAGATTTAGTAGGTAAATAGCTGTTGTTTCCATGTTTTTAGCTCTTATTTTATTAGACTCCGGTTACCTCAATTATCGGAAGAAACGAAGAAGTATAAAACTTACAATTCATCGGACAGACCTATCCGTTCCGACAACAGCGGCTGTTTCGCGGCCCTACCAGACCCGAATAGACAATAATCAATAGAATTTTTATTTATTTTTTTATGTGAGAAAATGTTAGGAGTTTCGAATATTATCTGTGCGCCTCAACGGCCAGTATTCCGTAGCCGGATGTGTAACGCATACGAAAAATTTCTAGCGTCGCTATCAACAAGCTGACTTGACTCTTGGACGTCGCAAATAGCTGGTGGTGTCGACGATGAGATCAGTGGGCCGCTGTAATATTTTCGTTGGAGTTCTTTCACCTGGTCGTGGGTGGCTTCTGCACTGACCAGTGCGACCGCGGAAACTTTGGCGTTAAGCCCTCTTAATTATATCGTAGTTAATTAAAGGATTTCCTTGCGTTGAATTATCATTCTAATTGTTCTTTTATCAAGAATGGTTTTTTATAAGTTTTACTATCCGTTCCGAGATACGGTTGTTTTAATTGTCCATATAATACACGTAAATTTATTACATTTAGGACACACTTTTTAGCCAAAGTTCTCTAGTCCCAAGCTAAACAACGCTTGTACTATGGGTAGTAGAAACTGATAAACATACTTTTCCTTTGTAAATAAATACCTATTATACATATATAAATAAAATAAAATCATATATTCACGGCAAACGAGACACTGGTTAACTGGATAACTGTTATAGCATTAAAATAATTTCACATGTTAGGTTTAAAAGTGGTTATTCAACTGTTCAAAAACAAAATTTTTATAACAAAACGTCGTTATAAAACGTACTCTTGGGCGTATTTACCTACTCTTTAACAGATACACGAAAACCTGACTATCGATTCAGAAAGGAGGAGTAATTAATGATTTCATTGATTCTGAGCGCGTACACGATTATCGATGCTTTTGCCTTGGGCAGTACCTTCCACCGGCAATTAGAGTTGACTGAAAAAGGCAGTTGGCCAAAAGCGACGTGGCCGGCCTTCTTAAGGTTCAACGGTGTCGAGATCCGATCTTGATATACTTTTACTCAAATCCAGATCGAGTTTGATTTTTATCTGTCATACAGTCCAGCAATTTATTTATGTACTCAACATGTATTATTAATGTACGCAACACTAAATCGGTAATTAAATTTGTAGCCATTTTTGAATTCCCGCAATCAAGGCTGCGAACGGCTATCCGACAAGTCCTCTTAATTCACCGCTTCAATTTCGGAAAGCAATAATTAACGATACGGCGATTCGACAAGTTGTTGGATAACGTCGTAGATCATCAATCATCATTTCAACCTGAACGTAGTCCTCACAGATTGCCACAAGGCACGAATCTGAGCCACCTGCATTCATCGATTTCTTTGATATTGGACAAATTACAAATATGCATCATATTATTCATCCCACATCGCACGGTAGTATGATATGTTTCATCGTTTCTTGAAATCACTATTATGCTTCCACTACTCCCCTTAATACTCTAACACTTGCAATATTCTCTCAGATTCTTTTAATTTATGTTAAGTTTGACAACTAAGTCGCTTGTTTGAATTTAAGCGACGGAGGTGGCTTTTCAAAAGAAAATCTCTTGTACTACACCGCAGGCGAAAAGTTTATTTTGAACCTTGCCCTTGATGTAGAATAACATTATCAATTGGTGTAAAAAGAATAACATTATCAATTGGTGTAAAAGCAAGACATTATCAAAAGACATTATCAAAGACATTATCAAAAGGTGTAAAAAGAATAACATTATCAATTGGTGTAAAAGCGTTTTACAAACATAAATTTCACGTGGACAAACACCGGATTCGAAACAATAATCTGTGGGGCACACAAGCAGTGGTTTCGTGTGGGAATCGAACCCACGACCCCCAACACCGAAACCAACTCCTTGGCAACTGCGCAACAGGGTCATCAAAACGCCAGCAATCGATTCTAGCAAATGTTAATTTCCCATTATTTCATTTTGTTTTACGGCGTGCATATCCATGCAAGCAATCGACATTGGACTTTCACAGCGCAGACGCATCCGGGGCGGGGGCGTTGTATGCGAAACTGGTCTCCTGCATAAGGCAGGCGAAAGTGCCGTATTGGTCGCCCAATGCGCTGTTAATTGCGATAATAATTGGCAATGCAATTGACCGTTACTGTACGTTAATGTCTTTATGCAACAGGCGGTGACTGCGAGTGGTACATTGCGACATAGATAATACATGTAAACTCAAATTATTACTATATGTTGAGGTATAAAAAAACTTCTGCTCTTGTACGCATGTTACTATGATATTGTATCCATTGTGCGTTGACCGTGAATAAAAATTTCTTCTACTTTATTTATAATTTCGTTGAAACTTGCTGCAGGGTTTGAACAAGGCTGGGAGTGGTTTTTTTTCTTATGTGAAAAGGTGCCAAGCGAGCAGGCGGTTCACTTGATGTTAAGTGAATGACGCCGCCCATGGAGATCTGCTACACCGAGATTACTGATGCGTTGACAACTTTTTGAAAATTGGGCTCCGGCTACCTCACTCACCAGACGCAACGTGAAAGTATTTGTTATACTTCCACTTCACTCCGGTCTTCTGTGAGCTCGTGGTACTTACCCGGACGAGCCTGCCCATTCGCGCAACAGTCGAGGCTGTTGCGTGGCCCTACCACAGTATAGGAATTTTTGATACAAAGCTTACTTTTACTTTAACTGATGTTTTTTTCAGTCCATAGACTGTTCATAGCTTGGTCGAACTCTTGGGCTAGCCAGAACCAATGAACTTGATACAGCCCTCAGCATTGGGTAGGGCCGCGCATGTGCTCAACCGTGCGTTGTCTTTGGGGAGGAATGTTCCAGCAGACCATATAGTGACGGCTTGAACAAATTTAGATTAGAGAGCACCAAAAACCGTAGTTTGATTGCTGACATGAGCACATTATGTCCCAATAACGGGTCGATGAGGAACTTGCTGGTCGGTTATTCGATGCGTTTACCATCAGGGGGTTGGATAATACATAGTTTATTTACTTTCACTACAGTCGAGCCTATCTTCCTTGACGGAAACGGTCGAAATATATCGAATATATTTCATAGCAATGATTCACAATATTCTGCTAAACCAACCAAATCCGGCAAAGGGAGCAGTGGACGATGTTTGCCGTGGTCCCACGTTTTAGCGGTGCGCATCGGAAGCTTTCTAATCCGCGACGAGCCAACGACACTGGGAGCTATTCCCGCCCGCTTGGGCCGAATTTCCATCGCAATCCCCCTCCCCCCCCCCCCCCCCCCCCCCCCCCCCCGCCTCTACATCACTCAGCGCCCGAAAACTTCCACGTGTGACGTAACGACCGTTCTAAACAATGACGCAGCACCGTGCTGCACCTCGCCGCAATGGACCGTAAGCGGTCGACGCAAGACTCAAATTGGAATTGGTCTCCTGTCTTCGCAGAGGTTGTAGTAATTAAACCACACGACTGCCACGTGAAATGCTTTCGCAGGCGACGCTCCGTTGGAGAAGCTTCGTTTTGGACATTTCAATTTTCGACATCTGCCGTCTATGGTAGAGCTCCAAACTGTTGCAATATCGTCATCTCTTCAACGTTGCACATATTTAGCCAATGTTTAGAACCAAAGAAAAGAAGTGACACTGAAGACCCTATGAGGTGTCATGCATTTTCTAAAAAACAAAAAAAATCCCGGTGACGTGGTAGTCAAATATTACTGACGCATGTTTGACTCTGGTGTTTAATAAATAATCTATCTATTCTGATTAATAAAAAAATTGATTATACATGGATAAAATTACTTATTCCTGAAACTCTTAATATGCAAATAATGGTATCCCCTTAATATCGTACTACTGCGACACTATACATTGTCACAACCGTTGATATGTATAGTAGATATAGATATAGACTGGGCTGTATCTCTAATGGTTCCTCTGACCTCCACGTCAATACTCGAAAAGGATCCACCAAATGACGTCCTTGGCAGACCTTGCGATTCTAATCGAACTCTGAGCTAACGCTCTTTGTCAGCGGGGTCGTTCCCCGGTCAAATCGAACCACTTGTTTCAAATCCCGTCTCGAAATCAACCTCGTACACGCGTTTATTCATTCAGACGAAATTCTAAAGAAATATGCATATATTTCTCTCGAAATTTGCTTTAATTTTTATCAGGACATTAATTATAGCATCGCCGATTCCGGCACATAATTTTGTTCGCAAAACAAACTGTAATCAGTCCAAAGAAATTAACGGACAGCCCGGCCGAGGCATCGGCCTGCGTGATTGACGACATTCTACAACGCGTAGCCGACGAAACTGTATTCGTCCCGCTCATTTTCGCTTCGCCAGAGGAGGAAGGAGTGAGTTTCGCGGGCGCGTTTCGGCGGTCTGCATATTTTAAGTGCTCTGATTTAAGGTATTGGGTCCTTGCCGCCAATTATTTATCTCTGGCGCGGTCCGCACGGTCGCCATGGCAACCGGCCCGCGCCAAATAAAGCGAATGCTTTTTGCACAGCGCTCGTTAAGGCAACGCTTCAACGCCGAGGCATATTGACATGTGGAAAGTGCGCACCTTTTGATTTCTTTGTCCGATCAAAATGTATTCGTGACGTCGTACAATGATGCTATTGGAGCCTGATCGCTATTTTCCAGCATCCGACGAGTACCATCAGGTACGTGAAAATCCGCAAATTGCCAACTATCGGGATTAATTTCTTGTATTTTTTTTAAGTTGATGTATTATCCGGTTGTTTTTATTGCTGTGATAATGAGGGACTGTTTTTGTTGCTGTGTTAATTCCTTTATTAAAAGGTTCGGTTTATTTTTCTTTCCTATTCTTGCAGATATCCCATTGTCTTCAATACGCCTGATCAAAAGTTTGTTCAGAGATTGTGGTTTCGAGTTGCAATTTTTACATCACGGATTCGAACCTCAGCTGCTAGAAAATGTTTGTTCTTTGACAAAATATTTAGTCAAAAAATCAATAGACACTAGCGATACTGAGCTATCACGGCTCTTTATGTTTTATATCTGCTGAATGCTAGATGGTATCTGAAATATAGATTTTGATAGTCAAATTTCACAATAATCAGAGTACAGTCGACGGCCGCTTCGATCGAGCGATGGCGCGCGATTGTACTCTAAGCGTCTACGCCGCGCCATCTCGTCAACCCAGATATGCAGACGGATCCAGGTGCTTTCACTAACACAAAAATGTGGTCACAGACTGCTTGGCCGCGTGGTCTGATTGGACACGTTATCTCTCGTCCGATGTTATCAGAACGGACGCACGCTGCCAAATGGAACGCGCCACGACACTATAAGATGCAGGAGTCTCCCATTGACATAGTCTCGAAGTACGACGCAGAGGCGCAGGTTAAGTTTTGAAAATGCTATGTATGCCCATAATGTTCACGATATAAATACTAGGAACAAATAAATTGATCCAACTCACAAGTAGACTGCGCAGAATAAGTAAATCTTTTATGGGACAATGTATACGTTTCTACAACAAAATCGAAGAAAACGTTCAAAATGCATCAATAGCTAAATTTAAAAGAGTAGTAAAAGAACGTTTGTCTGTTAAAGGCTAATATAATATTAATGATTATTTAAATGATAACCGTGATAGCTCCGGAGCCGTGATAGCTCAGTGTCCGGGCGCTCTCCTTTAATTCAATGTACTCGAGCAACCCGAGTTCGATCCCCGGTGCCGGCACCAATGAAGTTTTTAACTTTAAGTGCTGACTTATCACGTGCTCCGCCGTGAAGGAAAACATCGTGAGGAAACCTGCATATTTTCGAAATAATAACATATAAAAAAAATATTTCGAAGATATGTGAAGTCCGCCAATCCGCAGTGGGGCCGCGTGGTGGACTATGCCCTGATACCCTCTATATAGAGGAGGCCTTTGCCCAGCAGTGGGACATGTATAGGCTGTTACTTTACTTTTTTTTTTTAATGATAACACTGTATGGTAATGAATTGATCGTTTCAGGCTTTTAAATCAGAGTTTTTATATTGTATTTATAATATATATATCATACGGTAAGTCAAAAAATAAAAAATAAAGTAACCCGCTGAGTCTGTTTCGCCGGTTCTTCTCAGTACAGTGGCTTTCTTTTCTGAACCGGTGGCCACCCGAGGGTTGCAGATGCGTTGACAACCTTTCGAAAATTGGGCTCCGGCTACCTCACTCAGCAGACGAAACGCGAAAGTGTTATACTTCCACTTTACGCCGGTCTTCTGTGAGATCGTGGTACTTACCCGGATGAGCCTGCCCATTTGTGCTACAGCCGAGGGTTCTAGTTTATAACTGGCTCTACCACAGTTATAAATAAGTATGTAAGAATAAGATAAGTATGTAAGAGGAAAACTTTAAGTTACGATACTGCCCTGTAACAAAGAACCCAATTGGCGTAGTGCTTGGTTGTTCATATAATATATATTATCAAAAGAAAAGTATGTTTATGAGTTTATCTAGTACCCATAGTACAAGCTTTGCTTATTTTGGGACATCCGGTCCCATATCATCGTCGTGACATATGTATCCTCAAATATTTACTTATTTACTCTAGTCGGATCAGATCATCTTCTAATATAATTGTTATCTGAAAAAACTTTCTCTAATAAATTAGTCATCAGACGGCTTCAGTTCCTTAAAGGCCTTGCTTTGGCGAAAATCGAATTTCGTCAACTTCTTAGTACCCTGATTCCAAGTTGAAAAATGTAGTAGCTTCTTATGTAGAACCACTCTTGTTGATACGATACAACATAACTTGTCTAGACAATGGTTTACGGAACTCGATTCGTCCAAAGTGACTGGCCGAATATCTAACCGGATGCTGCGATTCTTTGTGAGGCGAGAGGTAGTAATGCAACTGACGAATCGATGAAATCAATGCCGAATGCCCCGCCCTCGAACCACGTTACAGTTATAGATTGACTAATAACTTTGTGATTTCAAACTAATTCATTTCATTAAATGAAACTGTTGTTACAGATTATGGTAGGTACTCTTTGTAGTATATGGTGATGGCCCTGATTGGGATTTTAAGTTTAAAATAACCACGATATCGATATCGATAGGGAACTACTGGACCACTGCTGGAAAAATATTGTGTGATGAACGTAGTGTTTTTCTAGTGTCCGTTTGTTCATATGTCTATAATATTTAATTATTTACACAAGAAGTGCGCGTAAACATAAGAAATTAGTATCGGTTTGACAAAAATACATAAAACTTACGTATTACATAAACATATCACTCCAGAACTTACCCTTGTATTGGTCTTAATTACAAAACTTATGGCAATTCTTGATGACCTTAAGACAACGTACTGAATAAGCCTTATTCTGAACTGTTTGTTCTGTATTTAAAAAAATGACACTAAATTATAGTTCACTGACGGCTAGCATTAAATATCATACGCAGTGAAACATCGTTTCTCTCAGTTTGTGCTTATAACCAGCACCAGTACCTGCGTCACAATACACTTATTAATAACTAGCTGTGCCCCCAACTTCGTGCGCGTGAAATTTAAAATTAATTAAATTTCTAACATAAAAGTAGCCTAATGACATCCTTTGACCTTTTTACATCAGATATCTGCCATTGAAAGTCCCGTCAAAATCGGTTCAGCCGTTTCAGAAGCTTAAGAAACAGACAAAAATTGTAAAAATGTTATTTATTTATATGTACCGTGTATATATATCCACATGCATTTAGTAAAAAGCAGTTATTTTAATATTACAAAACGGACACTCCAATTTTATTCATCTATATAGACGTATATAGATTTATCTGCACGAATCTTCAGCAATGTTTATATATATTCTTCACCTGTTTTAATAAGTAATGTTTACGATAAAAGCATAAAACCTGCCATTTTTTCCGTGATTATTCCAAGATATATGTTATTCGTAATATTGTTCCGGACCGTAGTCCGTATTGGACCCCACCGAGCTAGGTTGTTTTTCCAACGCTCTATACGCGGTCACGCGAACCTGACAAACCAACCCTTTGCCGCTTAAAAAGAACATAACAACACGGTTATTTTTAATGTCTACTATAAGCTCCTAATACTCGCACGGTTTTTGGGATAAGCAACGCCCCCGAAGATTGGGATGGATCAAAGTTTCACAAGCTTGAAGGAATGCGGGAACTTGAATCTAAAATATTATCAAGTCAATTGTTAATTGTACTCAGTCTAACATGACCATGGAGATTTTCAAAAACAAATAAAACGCGACATAATCATTCATTCTTTTATTTACCTTGTGTACGCATGTATCCAGGAAATTATATAGTTTTTATGTTGTTTTCTTTCCCCCGTAAGTTTTCTATCGAGAAAGAAACATAGTTCGTTGTAATATTCAAATAATAATAGTCCTCCCACTCGATCTTTTATCATTCGCCACAAGGAACAGAAAGGGTGTAAGTTATAGTAGTATTTTAGGCCGATTTCTTTTGCCGTTCGACTCGGGCCAGCGTATCCAGGCATCAGTTTGGGTGTGTACCTCCAAGAGTGTGTACCCACGTAGGAAGTTATACTTCTTTAGATTATCAAAAGTAAAGTAACTAAGAATTCCATTCACTGTGCCAGTACTGTTTGTTTGTGAAACAGACAAAGTTGTTATTGGTTGCCACGGCAATACCGTGAAGTCGGTCGAAGTTGATCGCTTTGCAAACAACTTCATCATGTCGCCTTTTGACCATCTAAAATTTTACTCTAATATTCATTTCCAAACGCACCAAAAGAAATATAACTTCAAAAAAGCGCAATCAATTGCTGTTTGCTCTCTGAAAAAGTCAGGTTTCTATCTACCATGCAGTGAAGATTTCGGCATATGATCTTATTCTTAAGACGAAGTGAAGTGAAACAATATATGATAATTTCTTGAATTGCCGCGATTACACAGATGACTATGTTTACGGATTTATATATATTATTGTTTATTTTTTTTGGTTATTCCTCATATATATATATATATATCGCTACTTGCCAATAATCATAAAAAAATATTAACTTTATATATACAGGGTGTTACAGAAAGGTGTTGTAACATTTAAAGGCGTGTATATATATCAGACTTTGAATCAAATGGCATAATTTTAAAATACGAATCTAAGCATTTTTTGACGATAAAAATTTAAAAAATTATTAACTGTAACAACCCTGATTATAGAAGTCACTGACCGCGCATCGGTGTTATCACTCCAAACTCACACACGCATACATCTGATCACCCGACTTATTCCCCTCTCCCTCCACTCCTCGTTACGTCATTACCCCACTTCCCGCTCCTCAAGTTTATCGGTCCCCTCCGCCCGCCCCTCGCCAACCAAACTGACAACGACCGCATCGCGCTGCAGGTCCTGGCGATGCTCTAATACAATGAAACACCGTGCTTATCATCAAAATTTATTTGAATTTATCGGATTTTGTCACAACAGAAAGACACGAAATAGCTATACTGATAGTCCATGAGCCCTACTTAATATGTTATTGATTAAAGAATAGGTATTCATTATCGGGAAATAAAACACAGACACACTACTTTTACTACGTTTATTTTTCTAAGCAAATATCCGCGTCATACCTACATAAAACATTTTTTACATGGAATTAATAACAGATTTCATGAGACAATTTCCACTGTAACTTATAATTTTTTTGTTTTGAGATTTTGAATTAAACATTAAATCGCTTGCAGTGGAAGGTAAAAACATTTTAGAAGGTTACAACTCACAAATCTTACAACGCCGATAAATTTATTCAACACAACATCAGTGAGATACATTATCATGTTATGGCGGATACATAATAATGACAAAAATAAATTTCGAATTAAGTAAGTTCAATGTAGTTTATAAAGTATTAAACAATAAAATCTTTATTTTAAATAAAGAAACTATACCTATACATTCCAATGAGATCAGCGTTTACTAAGAAAACTCGTGCTTATCGGTGTCGGTCGGTTCCATTACGCGATACTATTCTTTCACTGTTATAGCACTTCAGCACTTGGGATAGTCATTGTCACTAACTTAAAACACACCAAGGTCAAGGGTTGCTTCGTCATTTGCGAAGCTTCGACGCGTATAGGGCGCGGACGCAGACGAGGGCCGATCCTTCCAGCTCCTTTTTAACACAACTGGCAGCTGATCTAAATTTGTTTCAGCATTCTTGCTTGCTGTTT